CGTCAAACTAACTCTCTGATCATTCCATCAGGTACTAGTTTATTATCGTTTGGACACTAAATCTTTTCAAAAATGCTATTTCTGACCTTATTCCATTTTACTTAAGGGTGTATCTGAATGTACTGTAGTCTTTCTGCTTGGGGAAAACTGATGTGTTTTTTAAAACATGTTTTCAAACTCATAGGATAACGAAGGAAAGCCTTTTTAAAAAATAAATAAGGACTGCTTCTTAGTTTTATTTTACTTTTGCATACTGAAAATCCCACCAGAAACCCTAACAATATTCTAAAAAAATACCCTTTCAGCTATAACAGTGTTTGTTCAATGTGGGTAGAGATCATGTTAGCCAATCATTTGTCAATATTAAAGTAAAGGTATTTAAGTCCTGTTGATATCATGTAATTACTGTATATCACATACACCTCTGGTCATGTTGCTTTAATTACATAGTAATTACAGAGTAACAACTGTCCACTTGTTTAGTTACCTTTTTGCAATCATGTAATCACATAATCAAATTTGTTGTTGCCTTAAAACTAAGCTGCTAGGGACAAAACAGATCTTAATTTGAAAGGATTTTAATTTGTAATATACAGTACACATAAAACAAATGTGTATATTAGCTGTAAGGGAGTACATATATTGTCGTGCAAAATGTTGTTTTTTTTTTCACTTGAAATTATTTAAATACAGAGGAAAATGCTGCACAGTCACATGGTAATAGTGTAAGTGGGCAGCAAAGGATCTAGTTTATCCCCATTTCAAAAAGCTTTCTGCAAGTCAAAGGTCCTGGGTACAGCGGTTGATCTTGATTTTGGTTCTCAGCAGTCAGGAGAGATGCAACACAAACACATTTTCTGGTTCACTGGTGTCATTTTCACATGTTCACTGATTCAAACATCCTTTTACTAGCACAACAAACAGATGCATGCCATGCTTCGCCCTGCCAGCAATTGTCACACATCTTTGCCATAACTGTTTGATTGCAAAGTTGACCTCACTCCTCTGTTCAGAGTGAGCAAGACGTTTTAAATAGCTCCTCAGTTCTCAATCCCCCTTTACAAAGTATTACATCAGGTCACAATGGCTTCAGTCCTGCCATTCATTGTAAGTCGTCTTCTCAGATCCGTTCTGAGCAGCACCCTTCTGAAAAGGTTTCATAATGTATTCAGAAATACTATCAAGTTTGGAACCCTTGTTTATAAAGTGGAATTCATTGTGGAGAATCTGAAATTACAAGTGTCTTCCTAGCCAAACCAATCTTGTAGGAAAAAAAGTAAAAGGAACGTAATAAGAAGCTGAGGGAAGAGGATCTGAAATGTCTATTGAAAAAGAATTATATTTAATACTTATTACTATGCGCAAAGTAGAAAGGTCTTTAAAGGACATTTTTAAAAAGTAGTGATTTCACCTTTTTTTTAAAAAAGATGTTAATGAAATAAGGGTGTTAACATTGACCTTTGTTTTTTTTTCACTGCTGAAATATTATTGATCATTCTTGTAATTTAAGTTTAATTCTGTCACAGAGACAAGGGGTTATTTATACAACAGATATGCAAAATAAATCAGCTTTCTCTGGGCTAAGAAAAAAGTGCATTTTTAAATGTGAAAGAGGTTACAGAGGCATTGTCAGACGCATGCTGTTTGTGAAGAAAAAAATACTGTTTTAACAAGTTTCCTAAGTGGCGCTGTATGTCAGCAAGAACTGCTTTTCACAGACATATTTTCTGTTTTATATTTCCATTTGCCTAGTATAGTACAAGATTGAGATAGTGAATACCTTTATTTTACAGTTAGCAGGATGTTCCATGCATGAATTTGTCTGTATCTTTTTTAAATGGATAATTATAGTATGCAGCACATTTACTCTTTGGGGAATGTAATGCATCATAATCTTTAGCAATGAGTGTTTCACTTTTTTGTGTGCTTATCTACTTTAAAGTCAAGCCCTTGGTACAGATACCTACATTATTCACCTGGAAATTGCAGGTGTAATGCTGGGTAGAATGAATTTATTTAGCCTCATGAGCACCAATCTCCATGTCAGCTCTTAATTCTGCATGATGTGTAGCCTTTATTCTGTGAATGAATTAAGCAAAGAGATTGGGCTAGCTTTTTCCCCCAACAGAGGGCAAGCCCTCAAGGTCAACTTTAAGGCACATTAACAGAACTGTGTGGGCAAAAACTGGCATTTTGCCCATCAGCACTACCTGAACTGTAGATAAACAGACGGGTTTCATCTTGGTACTACAATCAATCTCTTTGCTCTTTTAAGCATTGAAAGAATCTACCTAAGAAACCTAATGAAGCACTTTAAAATATAGATTTCTAACTGGTTATTCTAGAAAAAAGCTGTCAAAGAATTTGGAGTGCAGTTGTTTCCATTTTTCATTTAGTTTTTGTTTCCTAATCTACAGGATATTTTTGTTGGTGAACCACACAGTAGAGAATTGTGATTTTTGTAGATTTTCTTTGAGTTAGCTACTCAAGAAAATTACACTCCAAGTATACTGAATTTAACACTTTTAAAATGTCTTATAGTATGCTGAGTAGAATTATAATGAAGAGCAGAATCCTAAGTGCTACAAGCTATGTTTGTGATTTTATGAAGAAAAAAAACTTCCTGCTATATAATTCTGAAGATAATGACTTCCGTAGCACGTATCCCTGACTCTCCCTTAAATGGTATTTTCATTTAATAGTCTGTATTAGAAAACAGTTCTAGAGGTTTTTATCTCTGTTTCATTTTCATTAATTCCTAATTGGGGTGGGGGTTGTCTGTTATTATTTCTTAGATTAAAATAAACATAGCCAATCCCATGTTTAAAACCATTGCACTACATGGAGCAGATAAGAAATATAACTAGCTGGTACTGTAAATAAATAAACAATTTCTTCTGTACTGATGAAATTAAGTTGCTTAGAGCTAAGCCTACAACTTAAAAGCATATTTTACTCTGCAAATGCATTTTAAAAAATTTTGACCTGCTTTATATGTACTGTATATCTTTAATTAGTGTCTTGTTTAGCTTAAACAAACTGATTATCACATAGTCAAGACCCAATTAATAAGCAAGCTACTTAGCCTTAGACAGTTACCCTGAGGACTGAGAAAGTTACCTTTAAAAGTTCTATAATCATTAGCAACAGCCTCTTTAAAAACTAGTAAATATACACTTTATCTATTAAGCTTTTGGTCTTTCTGCAGTAGTGGGTTCACAGTCTTTAATATTTGAATTAATAATAGTCTGTCTTGTTGCTGCTATATTCTTTATTCACATTCCATCTTCTGGTCCTGTAAGTAGTATCCTGTAAAGAAAGCTGTGACTTTGGAAGTAGACAGAGTGTTTCATGGGTATTTGAACAGAGGCATTAAGTATCATGAGAATGTGCGGAATGCACAGCATGGATTTTAAGTGTTTTGCTTAACAAATGCTGCACCGATTTTCTTTCTTCACAAGGAATTGAATTGGTTTGCTTAAATCTTACAGGGCCCCTTTGTAGTCCTTTGGCAGTTATATAACAACCACTGACGGTAAATTCACCTTATAATTAACAGATTTATTCATGTCACTGGCAATCTGTTGAAGCTGAGTGAAGCAAAAAGAGGTACCAAAAGAAACCCAGGTGAAGCCCTTTTCACTGTATGGGTGGCTGGGTCTTCAGGAAACAACTGGAGCAAGTCGATGCATTGAACCAAGTACTGGCTATTTTTCCCAAAGTGCATTCAGAGATTAGGTGCTAAGGAAAACCAGTGATGTTACATGAATTCAGATGTTTCCATAGTTTGCATGCTTATTTCATGCTGCACATGCGTAAATTTAGGTATACAAATTGTTAAATTGGAATTGCTTGGCTTACAATGATGCCCAGAATATTGATGTTTCTACACTAAAATAGAACTGAAAGAATTTACTCCCAGAAATAATTTAGTTGTACACGAAACCGCATGACAATCATGCTTACATTCACATTACCATCATGTCTTCATTTTGCTGTTGAAAATTAAAGAATACAACTCAAAAAGGCACAGTTCTGAATAAGCACAAAAGCGCACAGTTCAGAATAAACCATCGATATTATTCTTGAGCCATTTTGTTGGATTGATTAATTGACTGGTGTTTGGCACATTTAGCACAGGTAGTGCTAAAAAACTTACCCATACATCCATTATCAGTGAGCTGCTTATCCTGGTGAGGGTCACTGCAAGCCCAAACCTATCAGGGAAACACTGAGCACAAGGTAGGACAGAGAGCACAAGGCAGCTCTCTCTTGGGACCGAATGCAAGTCCATCATAGAGCAACAAAGAAAGGGACAATTTAGAACAGCCAATCAAACCTAGCCAATATGTCTTGGGGAAGTGGAAGGAAAATGATCCTTCCGACAAAAACATACACAAAACATAGGGACAACTAAACTCCATATAGGAAGATTCCTGAGCCCAGAATCAAACTTACTGTAGGACTTTGGAGCTGTGAGGCTGCAGCACTAACTGTGATATCACCATGATATCCTATGTGACTTACTGTAAAAGTCACATTATACAATGAAGTAATTCAGTCCCTTTCTTTTAAAAGGAGATTTGGCCATTCCATAGTTTATTAAAATATGAAACCAGTTTAAAGAAAATATATTTCCACCTATATTTTAAAGCTGTTTTTTAGTTCTTCATAGACATTATCCTTTTTTTTTTTTGCATTTTGTACATGTCCTAATTAGAATAGAGGAAATTTATAGAATTGGATGGCTTCAAACCCACTTGCAATTAAAAGTACATGTGGACTGGAACTGTCATACTTTAAGATAGCATCAATTTTTTCAAATTCTGCATGCTACAAAAATGGTTTATAAGATCCAGAAACTTCCCAAATATGAACAGATCATTCAATCCTTAACCATTTCTGATATTATGGTTATATTTTGTTTTACTGTCACTGAACACCAAAGAGTGTTGATAAGAAGATGCAAAGTGGGTCTGCTAGGAATAGGAACTTCTTACCTGAGGAAGGAGAGGAAGGATGGGGGCTGTCTTCTTGGGCACTGCCTGTTTGCGAGAGACCTCCTCCAGCTCCACTTTCTTCAGTGATGTTTGAAGAGCCAGGGGTTGTTGACCTACTGATGGACTGCGACTCCGGGTCACTTGCAGAACCCCGGCGCTCATCCAGACAGCCATGGATCCCCTCTTCTCCCTGCTTGCGGTCCCTCGTGTGCACACGGGAATGGACAACCACTTGATGGTAAGTTCTAAAAACCCTTCCACAATCAGGGCATTCAGTAGGCTTTTCCTTCATGTATTCAAGGCTTTGACCAATGTTGTGGGACATGAACTCTCTACTGTTGTCGTAGGTATCATCTTTGCAAGAGACAAGGTTGCTGCTTTTTGTACACTGCACAGATTCAGCATGCAGCTTCTGCTTGGAACCATCAGCAGCCACAACAAGGTACTCATGCTTCTCTTTAGCAAAGACTAGGCCTGCATTGACCATGGCCTCTTCCTGACTGTGTGGCACTTGGTGCTGCTCTTTAGGCAGAAAAGCTTGATCCATAGCCATTCCCCTGGCCATAACTTGCCAGGCCTGATAGCTATTCAGGGGGTCCATTTCTGCCACTTTAGCTGCTGCTTGCAAGCGTTCCATACAACTTGACTTGAGAGGAGGCACCAGATTCAAGCAGCCCAGCAAAGACCGTTTCTCTCCTTCAGGCAAATTATGGCCCATGCTAGCAACTGGTGCCAACAGTTTTCCAAGCATTTCTTTTTCTTTCATTGCAATCCCGGCCTTAGTGAGCATCTGGTTTTGATCGGATAAACCTGCCTTATCAGGTGAAAGGAATCCACTTTGCAAGCATGAAATGTATCGGGAGTACAAGTTTGCATGGGCTTCATGTGCCATGTTGTTCATGCTTATGGGCACTTCAGAATCCGAGGGGGATTTATTTTTAATTGATAGTTTATTCAGGTGGACTTTCATGTGGTTTTTCAAGAACCAGGGCTCTTTGAAGCGCCTCCCACAGATCTGGCAGCAGTGCTCAAAGGAATCTTTGTGCTTCCTCATGTGGCCCTTCAAGAACCAGGCCTGGCTGAAGACCTGGCCACAAACCTCACATCTGAACTCACTGGCTGGTTTCTCGCCATTGCCACTAGAACCTTGACCCTGGGCTGACTCAGCAGTGATGTGGGCCTTCTCCACGTGGCTGATGAGATCCTCCTCCTGAGAAGCCGCAAAGTCACAGAGTGTGCACTTGTAGGGCTTGTGCAGTATCCGGATGTGGCGGTCCAGCTCCTCACGTTTCTTGAACTTCCCTTTGCAAAATGTGCAGCGGAAGCCTGAGGGAGGGGCTGCCTGCTCCTCCTGTGCGCTGGCTGGCTTGGGAGAGGGTGATGGCTGAGACAGAGTCTCTGGAGTGCTGTGGCCGGTGGGAGTGAGTAGACCACTAGCAGTGGCGGGCGCCTGTTGTTGCTGCTGAGTTTGCATGGGCAGGTGCTGGTGCTGGAGAGGCTGAGGCTGCTGTTTTATATCCAGCCTAGGCTGCAGAAGGCTGCTTTTCATCTGCTTATCCCTCAGGATGGCTCTCTCCTCAAGCTCATGCAAAAGACGGTTCTCCTCGCGGACTCGGCCACGGCCTTTCCCAAGATTGCCCAGTTTGTGTGTGCGAAGATGGATCTTCAGATTGCCCTTCTGAGCAGCCCTGTGGTCACAATACGGGCATTTGAAAGGCTTCTCCCCAGTGTGGGTTCTCATGTGCAGTGACAGGATGCTGTTAAAACGAAATCGCTTTCCACAAAGGGGGCATGGGTATTTTCTGTTCTTTCGGGCATCATCTTCAATGTCGTTCATCTGAGACATGATGCCCAGATTCTGTCCATTCAAAAATTGCTGCAGATCCACCCTGCCATTCATGCTAAGACTAGTATCAATGTCTCGGTTGAGCTGGTTGGCAAGCAAGGCCATCTGACTGCTTAATGGTTGGCTGGCCAAAGCCATGTGACTCTTTTCATCTAGTGGAGTAGCAGCTTTCTCTTCAGGAATCTGTCTATTCTGAAGATCCGGAAAGGCATGGCCAAGCTGTGCTGTTAACTGGTGGAGTTTCTGGCTTATAGGATACTGGCCATTGAGTACAGTGTTGCTAAGATGGGCATCAGCTTCAGGCACTGCTGAAGACACACCAAGGCACAAACTAGTTTCCTCCATCCTGAAAGGACAAGAAAAGCCAAATTCAATGTCATACATAAATATAAAAGAACTTACAGCATCTAACACCACATCTTGTGCTATTTGATGGTGCATTAATACATCAACAATCTAGTACTAAGCTAATTTTACAGTATGACAGATATTCAAATAAAACAGCTTGAAATTATGGCAAATTAAAAAATATATATATCTTCAAGTACATGAGACAATTGTAATGCAATTTTAGAAGGAATAATTGTACTGTAAGCATGCTGAGTACAGCATAATTAAAATACTTCGACCAACAGATCAGAATACTTTCAATTACACGCCTTAATGAAACAGAGCAATACTGTTGTTATTTAACTGCATGTATATAACAATTACAACATTAACAATACCACTTAAAACCAAGGGGTTACACAAGTAAACATGTTCTTATCTTAGTGCTAAAAGACATGTGTAAGCATATTTTTCATTTAAAGTAAAAAACACTATATATTTGAAAGGGATCAATATAAATGAAAGACAAATAAAACATTTTTCTCACTGAGACTTACTGTAGGTGTGTATAATATGTGTCAGTAGAGTAATAACAGTTTTCAGCTATAAACAACTGAAGAATATTACAAATGGACAAACCTTTATTGCGATTTACAAGAATGTGAAATAATATTCCCACTCTTATGCTGGATAATGCTCTGTTCTGTACAACTGAGGGTCAAGCTTTGGAAACAATGAACTGAGTTTTGCTTTAGTCAACAAAAAGTGCTATAATATCTCATTAAGCTGCTTAGTATGCTGCCTAGTAACAGTACTAGGTGCTATAACACATGATTATAATCATAAAAATCCTTCAGTGTTTGCAACTAAGCATTAACGAGGTATATTAAATTTTAAGGAGAATTGTGACCAGCAGCTTGGTGAGACTTTCCCACTGTACAGTACTACAAAGTACCATTGACTAGACAGCAATGTATTTGAATGAGTGTGGTTTGTCTGTGTCATTATGACAGTTAAGGTTCTCGCGTCATGGGATCACTAAACATCCTAAAAAGGGTCTTTTTAAACATGCCTCAGGGTACTTGATGAAGACAAAGCAAAAAATACACAGCCTCTGGCATAAATACACCTTTTTACAAGTAACAGATCAACACAAGAGTCGATGTTCACCCACAGAAACAGTATTTAATACATTTAAAGTGGAGCATAAGCAATGATTTACAGTAAAGTTTATTCTCACCAACAAAAAATATGCCATTTTGCAAATTTCCTATCTCAAAATGTTTATTAAAGTCACAGAATGAAGGAGCGGACCACACCATGCTGTAAAACACCAGACAAGTCTGCTAAGCCGTTTTCAGGGTCACTTCACAGCTATAAATATTATTGCAAAAATAAACCAAGGCTTTTCAGGCACACATTTTAGCCTAGACCTTTGGCATGCTGAAGCAAGTAGTTTTTATCTTTTGGTAATCAACAGGGGTAAGAATTTTGCATCCAAACAAATTACATCATAAACATTTCTGTAGTAGGCAGGAATGGAAAGTTTATTTGCTGACATGCCATTTATAAACTTAGGAGTGGCCTGTTGTTAGCGGAGTCTCTCTCTCTACATTATACTGATAGAAAATCATGTACTGTATAATAACGTGAATTAAGCACCAGAGACGCTTGCAAATATTTACTATATACTTAGCTTTTTTAATGAAAGTAAGTGAATTATTCATTACCAGAAATATATAGATGACATTAACTATTTTAAATGATCTAAAGGAAAACATTTAGGAATAATCTTACATTGTAGATTAGCTTTAATATTCTTCTACTTTCAGTTATTTGTATTCATGGAGGAATGCCAGTCTTTTATGTCCATGTAATAAAAATGGGAAATGGTAGGAAATACATAAGAACTGTACAACTTGATCAGGAAAGGAAAACAAAGCTTGTTCTACATGAAAATTAATAGGATACCTGGCTGTAAGAAATGTCTTCTTCTAGAGGTCCAGGAACATAATATCTCAGGCTAAGTGTCATGGGTTGTTGAGACCTCTTTACTGGATGCTGCTGTCAGCTATAGTAGTCATTAAGGAAATCTAGCTAATTTTTTAAATTCCTCAATTGCTTTAGCAAGGAAAGAAAAAAGAACCTGACAATAAGAAGGTACAGTTACCCATAATTCATAGCCCTGCTTGGCTTCCCAACATATTTTACACAGCTAAGGCTATATACAGAAAATCAAATGTTCTGAAACAGCTTGATATTCTTTGGATGGTAGTTGTTATTTGCAATACAAATCTGTGACTTAAGAAAGCTGGTGAGGGGGTGCTCATCTATAGATAGCAGTTTGCCATTTCCTTCCATTTAATCTTCTGCTTTATCTTCTAAAATACAAAAAGGCAAGATAAATGGTGGATTAATGAAATAACACAGAAGGATAAATTTGTTGTAGGACTGTGCATTTTTTGGATGTCGTTTATAATAACACATATGCAAATGAACGGCATTAAAGTGCTATCTTTTTAAAGAAAAGACATTTAAAGCATTTGCCCAATTATAAAGGACACAGAATGGTTAAAACATCTGACATGCAGATTTTAGATATCACCCTCTAATATAATTCTACCTAAATACATATAACTGATGACGGGAGCAATATTTTCAGTGTAAAATACTATTCTAATTGCAATACATAGTTTTAAAAACCATAATTTGGTGTTCAGTATACTATTATCAGACACAGGACCATTGCATTATGCACCTTATCTATAACGAAACAAAGAAAAATAAAATCTAAATACTTTTATCTGCATAATTCAGTTCCACATTTTCAGTTAGCAATTTATCTGATAATAACCTGAGATTCTGATAAAAATAAAAAAAATCCATTCAATTGACGTGTGTCCACTTGAGCTAGCACAGCAATAAGAACAATTAGTTGAAACATAAAGGTTCCATCACACTGCGATTTCATCTTTCATAATGAAAGAAAAACCACCAAGAGATCAATTGTGAAAGAGAGGTTCTGCTTAGGTGTTTCAACATTTGCAAGTGAAAAAAGAAAGAAAATACCAGACTGTATTGCCGTTGTACTGTGTGTTTCATTACACTACCAGCACATTTTCTGGAAACTGTTTGCAGATCTAATGCAGTAGCTTCAGACAAAGATAACTACCAACTGTAATCAGCGAAAATACCTTTCTGCAGTTCCAAAATTTTCAGTTAGTAGTGTTCACAAGCTTACCTTCCTGTATAGAACCCATTTAATCATTTTCATCTTAGTGCTCCTGTGAAGCATTTGTAGGCCACAATGCTGATGGATTCCTTCAGTACCTTCAACCCCCAAAATGTTTTCGACAAGGCAACAGCAAGTATTTATTGAAGCTTTTTTCTCATGTCTCATTCTGCCTGTCACATGTAACATTTACTTAGTGTTAACAATGCACTTTTATAAATATCACAGCTCAAATGAAGTTTCTTAAAGCCACCAGGACTTCCTATTACACTTTCTCAGTTAGATATGTGGTACTTTCTTACAGTTTGTGGTTAATATTTACCGTTCCAAGCAACGTGACATACAACCTGATTTTGCAAATTGTAAACCAGCCCACAGCTTAACCAGTAATTATACATTACACATATATAGATACAGATGCACACATTTTTATTTATGTATACAGTATATACATATTCTAAAGTCTACGCTATGTGGTACAAGCAGAGTGTAGGAAAGATCAAATGTTCTTTATTTGTTTTCTATAATGTTTTCTAAACATTAAATCTATTCAATTCAGTGTTAATTCTTAAAAAAGCAAAATCTAATTGTTGGTGACAGGTATTGGATTGGGTTTCTGAAGTAAGTCTTAAGCTTTAGGCTGCATAGGTTCAAATGCATGTGGGTTGAATGCATGTTTATGATAACCATCTGTAGACTATGTAAAATGTAAGCTATATATTTCATGATGAAAAATAAACTGGATTTGATGTAATGGTTTCCTGAATTCTTATGTACTAATAGTAGGACAACCTGAACTGTACCTGCCTTTTTGTTATTAACAATGGCCAAAAGAAAGGGTGTGTGGCTTCATAAGTTCCTAAATCATAGCAAAAAAAATTTGTTTTGCAATCTATTTATTCACCAGATATTATAGACTAATTGCAATGCAATACCTCATTAATTACTATGAGGAAAATCATTATTACTTATAAGTCAATCGTTAATTACTATTAAGTGTATAGAATTCAAATTCAATTGCTTTAAACCATCAATGAATTCCAAACACGATCAATTAGCTAGCACAACAATGCGATACATACTGAAGATTTCAATCATGTCTTTAACATTTTATGAATACATACCTTAGAGTCTATAGAATATACACTGTAATGTATATGGAGTGTACTGAAATTTGCTTTTACAGCCACGTAGTATCTCTGTAGAGCACAATAAAACAGCCTAGTCAGTGAAATAACCAAGTCACGGTACTCTAGATGAGCAGTTTTCAACTCAGAGATTGTCCAAAACACACAAGGCTTCATTAAGGGATTTGCTCTGACAACACATTTGTCAAGATCTTTTGTCTTACTGCCCTGATATTTTACCATTTTAAGCAGCACGTTTTTGCAAGAATTTCATATTTTGATTTGCTGGTAGATTAAACTGAGGAACAATTAGCGCGAAAAATGGTTGGAAACGTGGTCCCCCAAGCATAAAAATGTTTAAATTCTCTCTCTTTATTATTTTATTATGTACTGTATAATAGGAGAGTCACTGCAGACAGAAATCCAGCATTGGAACATTCTTGTTGTACTGTACTACTGTAGATCTATCCACAAAGTAGCACAATTGGACAGAAGACTGTCTCAAGTGCTCTTATGCTGCAGTTATTGCCAGTAGCCCTAATCCTTTCACTTTTCATTTTATTTAATAACAGAAATCCAAATCCAAACATAAATACGCTGTTGCTCAATACATTTCTTTTTTCTTCATAATGACAATCCAAAATGATAAATGTGCAC